AATCTGGGTTTCAACTTAAAAGTTGCCAAATATCCAAAATGACCGAAGCAAAAGATTGCAGAGTAGTTTAGTTCTGCTGTGCGTTACCGAAATTCGTATGTTCCTTTCAATTGATTTTATTTTAAATCAGATAAAAAATATGGTTTTACTACTGGCAGCTTCAACATCACGAAACAGAACGGTTGGGACAGGGTGCTTGCGTTTGCAGTCTTTTTTTTATTTTTGTTTGTGCGAGACTGCCGTAATAAAGTCCATGTTTTATGTTTTTTTTTTTTTTACGTCTGTCAATTGAACCGTGTGTTTATGCCTGGCGTCATGTTTTGACAATTTTTGAAGGTTTTCTTTATGAACTGTTAAACAGGACCCCGAACTCTAAGTGCGACGCTGACTACTTTTGCTTAGGCGTCATCGTAACGAATCGAAGGGTTCGTTAAGTAGGTTAAGGCTGAAGCACGGTGTCCATGAAAAAGGACGATATATGCCGGCGTTTGAATGCCTATTATAACGCGTGGTCGCTCCCTAAAAATATTTAATATATACCACTGTATACGAGATGCCATCTTTTTTACCTCGATATCAAATAAGTACGAGTAAATTAAAAATTAATCTCGGTGGGAATATCTATGAGAGGTGTTTTCGGCGGTACATGGTTTGATAGTACAAATGGGGAGAGTTTATTGTCCGGCCAATTTGCTTCAAATTGTTAAAATATGTAGGTTAAGATTGTATGCTTTGCAAATCGTGGCCATTTTTTTATTTTCATTTCTGTCTGAGAGTAGGCTTTATGGGAGGAAGATCACAATCAATTTCTATAACAGCTGCTCGGTTTTTACGTCTGAACGCTGTGATAGTTGTTGAAAGGTATCGTTTTAGAATATCTGCCGAATTTCATAAAGATTAGTACTCAAGGTTTGTTGTAAGGCTCCCACGAAAATAGGAGAAAATGGCAAAAACAGCCAAACACTGTTTCGTAGTACAAATGCACCGCCGTTAGCTGTCTACACAAAGTATCCGAACTTCTGACAGACAAAGTTTAATGTACGCTGATTAGGTTATCGTACACTTTTTTTTTTTTTTTTCAGATTTCCCGTTTTGATTTTTTTTTTTTGTGGAAATGTTTGAATCTGCAGCAATAGAATGCACCTTTTTCTGGCACAAAAAGGTAATTTTCATATATTTTTTAATCAGTTGATATATAATGTTAGTGTAAACAGGATTTAATATCGCATATACAAATTAGCAGCTTCTGATTTCTGTACACAATGCTCAGCTTCGTCTGAAGTCAGCAAAAAACGTAATAGCAGGTTATTTTGGGGATTTTATGACTGCTTCTGCCATCTGTTGAGTGGAGCAACCAAAGCTAAAGAACTTCTTGTCCAGGAAAATTCCTAGGGTGGCGGTGATTTTGTCCTTGACAGGTCGACGCTTTTACGGAGATGTGCATTGTCACAGCCATAACTGACCTTCCCCCTCTCTGTCTCTCAATCGGTAGGCTTCACTTCATTTCTGTGGTCGCGAGACAGCTTTTTCAGTTATATAAACAACAGCGTTATGTCTAAAACGTTGCCTAGGGGTTAATCCGTTATTATCTATTTTAGTGGCTGGGCATCTCAGTGAGGTAGCAGAAAGCCAGGTGTTGCGACTTAAACCCGACGCTCGGGAAAAGGTTGAATTGGTGCCACCAAATAAGCTACGATAGAGCCACTAAATGAGCTCCGCTTAGAGTATCGGCACTCCGTTCTCCGACATTGTTGTGGGCGCCGCCATTTTGGTCCTTGTGAATAGCAGACGCAACTGCCGATCCGATCATGAATCAAATGTGCAACTCCTGGGCATTAGATTCGGTGTTATAGAGAGCTCAAGCAATATTGCTTTGCTCCGTCGCAAACCGTTTAAACGATTGTGGAAAACGGAAAAGCGTTTACTGTAATTTCAGATAAAGCTTCATATAACTGCCAACTATGATTTTAAGTCACAATATGGGCAAGTGTCGTAACTCTGAAGCGTAGCTTATTTAGCGGCGCAAAACTAGGCTGCAGAGTAACGACACTTGCCCATATTGTGGCTGAAAAGCATGACTGCCTGTTATCTGAAGCTTTATCTGAAATCACAGGAAACGCTTTTTCGTCCTCCAGAAATGTTTAAACAGTTCGCGATAGAGCAAAGCAATATCACATGACCTTCCTAACACCGAATCAAATGCTGAGGAAGTCACATGCAGCGATTTTGGCCCTAGAGCGGCGCGATTTCTGCCGTCGCGGCGCTCGTGCCGCTCAACCGCATGGTGCTGGCCAGAGCGCCGCGACGGCAGAAATCGCGCCGCTCTAGGGCCAAAACCGCTGCATGTGAAACACGCTTTAGAGCTTCTGAGCATCCACCTGAAGGCGACGGCAGTAGCACATCGAAACAAGCAGTACGTACAACTAAGCGGCATCTGCATAGGATCCCGGGTAACTCCCTACCTCTGTGATCTGCACTGCGTCAACACTGCGTCAACCTTCGGCGAGAAGTCGAGTTCAGTCAACGCGTCGTAAGACACTCAGCGTCGGGATCGGACCCAATTAGTGAGTTGGCGCCGTTCGGGTGTGATGACGTAACTAGAGACACTAAATGAGCTGCGCTTAAAGGGTCGGCACCCCGTTCCCCGACACTGTTTGTGGGCGCCGCCATTTTGGCTCGTATGCAAAGGAGACGCAACTGCCAATCGTCATGATTCAAAAGTCAGACTTTCTCAGCTTCAGTTTCGGTGTTAGAGAGCCCATGTAGTATTGCTTTGCCCTGTCGCCAACTGTTTAAACACTTGCGGAGGGCGGAAAAGCGTTTCCTTTGATTTCAGATAAAGCTTCAGATAACTGGCAACCATGATTTAAGACACAATACGGCTAGTGCCACTGAATAAGTTACGCTTCAGAGTAACGACTCTTGGCCATATTGTGTCTTAAGATAATGGTTGCCAGTTTTCTGAATACTTTATCTGAAATCACAGGAAACGCTTTTCCGCCCTCTACAATTGTTTAAACAGTTCGCGGCAGAGCAAAGCAATACTACATGACCTTCCTAACATCGATTTAGTGCTGAGGAAGTCGCACTTTTGAATCACGGCGATCGGCAGTTGCGTCTGCTCTGCATACGAGCCAAAATGGCGGCGCCCACAACAAGCTCGAGGAACCCATACTCTAAGCGCAGCTGATTTAGTGGCTCTAAATATGGCCAAGTGTTGTTACTCGGAACGCAGCTTATGTAGTGGCACTAGATGTACCGTTGAAGAAGACGAGGCTGTTCACATGCTTGTCTGAGCACGGCCGGGCTGGATACGCACGAATCCCCTACGGCCATGGTCTGAGTCGATGAGACGATGCATGTATGACGTAGTGAAGCTGTGACAACGCGCCATGCCTCAACGCCACGTGCCTCCCTTTTACTTTCAAAACCGTCGCAGCGAGCAACGGCAGCGACCTACCCGAGCAGTGACACCCAGAGCTCCAACCCAGCTTGCTTTCTATGCCGCTTCAGAAAAGTGAGTAGTGCACGTGTGCAGATTTGAGCCGGACGCCAAAAGCTTTGGCCGTGGCCTTTAATTGGCTCCGCGCCTTGCTTTCTCTTTCAGGAGCATATGGCCGCGGCCGATGCCACGAACTATTCCAGAGTAACTATATCCCAGCCAATCAAGCACTACGTGACCCAGTGCTCCGAGAATCGCAAGGCCAACCCAGATGGTCACATTCCCTCAGTGCTGGGTTGACCCTGATCGCCAGGGGGGGCGCCTATGACAAAATGGTGTATGAGGGGGAGGGGGAGAGGAGGTCCCAGCAAAATGGAAAATTTCGGGGGGAGGGGGGGGAAGCCTGGCCCCCATGCCCCCCCTGGCTACGTGCCTGCATCAGGCCTCACTAGTAAGCAAACTGAAGTGTGTGAATCGGCCTTTTTACCCTTATATACTAGCGTTCTTGTGCGCCAGTGAGCCAGATGCAGTTTGTAAAACTAAACCGCAATGTCCTTTCTTTGATGTTTGAGAAATCACCTGGTTAACGTACCGTCTAGTTCAAAAGTGGAGGACCTGGATCACTAGAAAAAATGGGAACTTTGAAGTTACCCATTGTAAAAGCTGACTGGATAAAACACTTTTTGTTCCACAATTCTGATTTGAAGTGCGCCGAAGATGTGTCTAGTATGAACACATTAAGCAATTCTATTGACTAGGGTAGCGTTTCTTGTAATGTAAACGTTTTCCTTGCCTTAAAAAAAATATAGTTAAATTATACACTTAGCGCTTCAGCGGTATAAAAGTTCCAAACTTTGTCGCTCTTTAAATAAAAAGAGAAACATTGAACCTCCTTCAAGGACAAATTTCACCAATAATCTGTATTTAAAAACGCACATAAAACGCAGAATCCGTGATGCGTCTAGGAATCTGCATTTTATTTTAAGCGAAACATTCATTTCACTCCTGAGACAAGTTAATCTCGCTTATAGAACAATTATCCTCTCATAAACTAGAATATGTTCCCTTATATGGAATCTTCACCGAAGCTACTTATCGTTTAAACTAGAAACGTTTCAAAACGAATTTGCACGTTTTATATTTTGCGAGTGCTCTTCACAAACATTTGATTCACAAATGCGAAGAAAAAAATTGGGCGTAATTTCTTTATAAAACCGACCGAAAAACTGCTCGCTTATGCTTTTTTAAAATTTATTCAATCAAAATATTTATAGAAACAAACTCCTCGCTTGCTTGGGTCACGTTCACCGACGTTCATCCTTCTTTACAAAGTCGAACCCATTAGACCTCAAATTAACTTGTTCCCGTCTTACCCACTGGCCCTATTCATGAATCACCGAACTTGTCTTCCTGGTCATGCTGTTAGTTAGGAGCCATATTTAGCGATTGAACACGCATTGGCAGCATTCGAATCTGATGCACGCTTGCTGTACATGACTAAAATACGGCGGCTTCCGCCAGTGGTTGCTGTGTAAAGTATTGTAAAGGGACCACGTTGTTTTTATCGGAGAGTACGGCACACGGCGTGTTGACACTCATTTATTTTATCTATTGTACTTTCATGTTACTGTAATGCACCAAACGATTAATTAGAATAAAATAACATGTTCTTCACGTAAAACTGTAGACACCGTATAGACAACCAACATGCGAATAACTCTTAAGAAAATCCTAACATCGAAATCAGTTGTTGTCCAAGATGCGATAAACTTCACAGTTTCCTGTCGTGTGCTGTATAGTCACTGACAAGGTGAAAACGGCAGTGAGAAGCTTCAGTTGTACCGCTTCCAGCGCGAGCTTCCTACTTTCGATTATGCTTCGGTGTATCCTGAGCCTCGAGTGTGCACACGCAGCCAAAGCGTGTAGGAAGGCAACGAAGGCGTGCTGAAGGCCGAGCGTTGCAAGGAGGCGCCCTGCCGTTGTTATCCTCTCAGTGACTATACTTCTTTGTTCACGCGACGGTGTGGACTGCCACTTATACGGTGTCAACCCTCTACTTCAACGGTCACTCGCAATGCGTCATCCACGACGAAGCCGTCCGACTGCAGTTTACTGGTCTTAAACCACTTGTCGAGAGGTCTCTGTATCTTCTTCTTATTTGTGTTGTCTCGGATCCTGGTGAAATAGACGTCGACGTGCTCCACCTCTGACGGCATGATGGCGTGCTTGATGTTCTTGCCGGAGTCTTCTGGGTGTACCAGGATCAAAAAGAAGGTCTTCCGGATCGGCCATTGCGAAGAGTTTTCCGTGGTCCTCCTCACCGAGGTGAGCAGCGATAAATAGACGTACAACTGATCCGCAAAACCTCCGACGAACGTCTGGCCCACCTGGATCGGGTATCCCGCCACGTTAAAGGAGTCGCTCGTGTAGGACGCGGCGCTTCGCAACTTGGCACTGAAGTTCCGCAAGAGACAAGAACTTCTCCGCTGGCCTTCCAAACTGGGTTCAAAGACCGCGACGCTGCCGATTCTTTGCAAGATTTGCTTCTCCGCTTGGTGAAGCCGAGGTAAGCAGTCTTCGAGGAGCGTTTGCAAGTCGTTGGTTACTTTGGCGTAAGCTTGGGTACAGGCGAGTACCGAGTTGATGTTGTCCTCTGCGGCGCACTTTGCCGCGCTGAGTTTATCGATCACCCTCCCGACTTCATATTTCGTCTTCTTAAGTTCGCTTAACGTTCGCCCGCTCCTGCAATCATCTGAAAGATGCTCAATGAGTCTCTTCCGCGGCACGTGTTGAGCGCACCTCCCGCAGGTCACCACGTGGAACTGACAGCTTACCTGGAAGTGTTCCTTCAAGGTATTAAGGCTGCCGACGAACGGGCATCCCTCGTTGGCGTTGATGCACCGCACTTTCTTATTTTCTAGGGCAGGTTTTAACACGAAGATCCTGGAGACGCAGCCGCATTGGCAGCCGTAGTGACGGTCGCTGTCGCAGCCGACGCAGTTGCAGCCGTAGCCTACCTGGTCAAGCGGGCAGCGAGCAGGCCTCTGGGTTGCGATCTGGTCGTAGCACGCCCCGCAGTATTTGTGTCCACACGGAAGTCCCAGCAAAAGCCCGGGAATCACGTCGCATACGCTACAGCATATGTGGTCGGGAAGTGTCTCTTGAAAGTGTATGGGCCTCAAGTCTAGGATGTCGCAGTACCCGCGCAAACGCTTGATCACTGGCATCGTGAAGAGTGGCACGATTGGTGCTGGTTTCGTGTGAGGCAGTTGAGGCTGTCTTCTGCCGTGGGGCGAAGGAGCGAAGAGCGCTATCGTGTGCGTTCGTCGCTGCTTCGAGTCTGTTACCATGGCGTCATGGAGATAAGACAGACGGTTTGTTTGCTCCTGATATGGGTTCACTGGAAACAGAAGATAACAGACATGTTTTAGTTGAAGAAAGCAAAGAAAGTACGAACCGGGGTGCGACAGCCCGCTTTGGGGCTAGCGCAAAACCCTTTTAGAAACTAAAGTCTGCGGCTTGGGGGGGGGGGGGGGGGGGGGGCGTTTTGTTTTTTTACGTCAGTACGTCACTACTCGTAGGCCATAAGAGGAGAGTCAGCAGAGGGTTTTCACCGCCCGAGCTTTTGCGACGATGATGATGAGGCACTTGGAATTGCCCGGGGAAACACTTTTTTTTTTATTTTCTAGTGCCCTGTTATCTCCGTTGCGTTCGGTCTAATCGTCAAAAATGGAATTGTGTTATGTACTTATATCTACTGAATCGAATAACAAATAAAAAATAACGCGTCGTGACGACGCAATTTTAAAGACGGCAGGCGGCTTGCAAGCGAAGAAAAACCAGACGTTACGTGCATCGAGCGACGTAGAAAGCAGTTGAAAATGAACCTAGCGAAAATCACTTACTGCGTCCGTTGGCGACCAGAATCGTTTAGTGTTTTTGCGTGTGCGAATGTGAGGATCACTGCTTTATGTGTGTTGTGTGTGGTTGTACCGGAAAAATTATACCGAAGAATGGAAGGTTCCCATATTTTCCTTCCTAACCGACGAACAACGGCCTATTCACTGCATTAAGGGAATTCCGGAGAAAGTATAGTTTAAGTTGCTGCCTCTTCGAAGGTATGTTGATTTGGCAGATTTTGAATTTATATCGTTGCACTCTTGAACTTACGAATTGTCACTGTGGCCAGAAGGACGACAGTATAGTAAACAACTCCGCTATTTTATTTTATTCTCAAGGAGACATTGTAGCTATTTTTAGAATGAGTTACCACTTTCAAAGTGTTTGAAAACATTTTGTTGTTTTTATCATATTTATCATTTATCATACCTGCGGAGAGTATCTTGCGTTGTGTTCTAACTTTTGCATTTGACATCACCGACCAGGATTTAGCACCGCTGTCGTCCAAGACTCCTATTAGGACGTACGTATCTGGATACTTTGCCTCTGTATCTGAAAACATTGAAGTGCGAATACCGTAGACAGCATTTGGGTTTGGGGAAGACTCTTCCTCACGATGTATGCAGTGGGTCATCATCTGACTGATGTTTCATATTGAGGGGGACTGCACTTTTTAGCCCCACTTGTCGTCAGTGTGGTAATGCATGCCGAAGTTGTGAACACGCTAATGTCGTCCCAGCACATCGCTCAGTTCTTGCGGTTACATGATCCACGAACTGTTGTCAGGCACCTGACACTATAGCTACGCTGCCAGCGTTTGTAGAGTTGGAGACTTGTGCAAGGGACTCGACAGACATTCTTTTCAACAATGTCTGCAAACAGAAAAAATGATACCTTAGGCAGGATGCAAGGTTTGCTTCAGCCAAAAAGCAACCCTCTGTTTTCCCCGAACTGTAGCGTTGATTTAAAAATAAAATGTGAAGGAGCCACAAGACCGACATTCTAAAACACGAAACGGTGGCAAAAAGGAAGTTGTCTCATTAGACGAACTGTACATTTTGCCTCGTTGATTTATTACATGATTGCCTTCTAGCCTGTAGTCAATCAGTCACATTTTGTGTCGCATTTGCTCGTTTCACTCTATTAAAGCTACCTTTTTAAAATAAAACAATAGACTCAATCATTAGCGAGCCGTCACTTATTTTCGTACATTTGAAATACGAAAGTGACCGTCCAACCTGTGGTGGGAGTTCGTGAGTGTGCTGTTACTTTTATTCTACCTCTCAGGAAACTACCTGGAAGGCGCTAGGCCTAAGATACTATTTCACATATTTTCTAGTTGTGTGATGAGCATGGACGTCAAAAATAAAACACGAAGTCTTCTATGTTTTTCCTAAGACGACTTGAGGCCGAAGGCCCAAGCGCCCATGCATGAAAGACAGACACATGATTTACTTGCTGAGTCATCCCTCTTAATATTGTGGTTCTCCTTGGGGCCACTGCCTTTGGGAGTACCACGTTCGCGGCGAGACGCTCTACCGCGAAGCGGGTTCGTACTCGCGTGGCATGCTGCTCGTTGAGCGCAAACAGACACCAGTCACGTTGGTAACGGTGATAAACTGTTTATTTACAATGAAACAAAATAACAACAACACAGCGGCTATAAGCTGGTGAACGCCGTCGGTGTGGAGATCGCCCACGGCCGAACGGTCGTTCACAAATGTACAAAGGACGGGGTAAACGCTCACCGGTGCGCCGGAAGGTTCCCCGTTGTCGCCGCCGCCGAATCCCAGGAAGAAGAGAAGCGAGACTGCTGTCCGCTGGTTTTAAGATAACGGCGGGGGCGAAGTGGCCAATCAAGGAGCGACACGTCGATCTCCTTTGTGCGGGGGTTCGTTACGGAAATCGCCCCAAGGGGGGAGAGGAGGAAGCCACTCACAGTGGTAAGCAGCGCCGCCTCTCGCTACTCCAGCGCGGCCGCCACGGTATGGTGTAGTACACCATAGCCACGGCGCGCCAAAACGCTGACGCGACAGAATGTTGAGGGATCACAATCCCCACACTCCCCCCTCCTTAGCCAATAGTCACCCGGAAACGGGTGGACCAACACAAACACATAACTAGACTAAAATAATAAAAAAAGAAAAAGGCCGCCAGCGGCTGCAAGACACGGGACACAACAGCCCGGCTCATACGTCCAAAAGTTCGTCCAGCGGGCCCTCACCAGGCGGTACAGCTCCCAGCTGCAGTCGATCCGCTGCGTCATCCTGTGACGGCCTCGCACGTAGCGGGTCACCTCCTGAGCGCCCAGGCCGGGGTAGGGCGTCGAGCCCAAAGTGACGATGTCCCACAGCAGTAGTCCGCCGAACGCCCAGACGTCGGACTTGAAGGGGAAACCAGGAGTTGCACGCACTCCGGAGCCATCCACCGCACCGGTAGGGCGCACTTGGACACTGGTGGTAGACGTCCGACTCGGAGTCCGTAATGCTCCTGGAGAGGCCGAAGTCGGCGACCTTGTAGCAACCGTGTCCGTCGACGAGCACGTTCCGGGCGACCAGGTCCCGGTGGATCATCCCTCGGCGGCGGATGTAGTGCGTGCCCCACGAGCCCTGCCGGGCGAACTGCTCCAGGTCCCTGGGGCCCTTGGGACTTGTCACGGGACGAACGGGAACAGCTGGTCCTTGGTCGGCGAGCTTTCCGACCGCGGCGCGGGTCCCGAAGATGATGAGCCGGCAGTCCCTGACCGGATGACGATCCCGACGGCCCACGGAAACGACGGGTTACTGGTTTGGCCCGCGGCCGGCTGGGGTAGAGGGGCTGCCTGACGAGTCACGCCCAGCCGTGGTCCCCGGACGCCGCTGAACTGCCGTAGCCAGGAGACAGCAGCTCCCGAACGACGCGAAGCAAAGGCTGGAAGTCCTCTTCGTAGGTGCGGAACGTACTGCGGTAGAATGACCACTTGGTCTCCGACCGCTTGTGACGACGTTCGCACCGGGCTCTTGCGTTGACAAGTGGCACACGTGAGCGTAGGTGGCAATAACTGACCAATGGCAGTTACGCGTACCCTTTCCCTCGGATGCCGTGTTTGGGGGATTCCCCTACGGGTTCATCCGGGAGCGAACGCTGAGGTGACGTATCTAGGTCAGTGCAATAGGTGACCGGCGTTTGAGCCGGAAGTTTCGTCATCCGAAGCGAGGCACCACGTGACTTCACGCTTCCGGTTCGTCCGGAGCCGGTCGTGATTCGTCCAGCTGCATCGAGAGCCCTTCTAGGCGTGGTAGCCGTGCTGTATAGGTTGTTTGCACATGACGTCAATCCGCCATTTTGTTGTTAGTTTGTTTTTTCAAACAAATTTACTACATTGAAAGATTACATCGTAACCGGTTGAAATGATGTCAGCGGTGCTCTACGCATTTGAGAAGGCATGCAAATCCTTGAAATGCTCGAGTTTGGCACACGCCACACAGATCGCAACAACAAAATGGTGGACGAAATTACGTCAGTGAAAACACCCTATTCGCGCTGAAAATGGTTCACAGCTCCGCGGTACGTTGTTCTAACGCAAGCCATAGAGGGCATAAGATGTTCCAGTTCCCGTGGAACAAAGCATGGAAGCAACGATGGGCCGTCGCTGTTAAGCGAGTGATATGGAGCGAAGTGACCTGTGACAGACAAACGTCGGTGACCGTTTATGCGCGGCCAATATTGTTACAGGCCAGTAGAACCTGTTCTCTCTTCAGGTAGGGGCCGCGGGAAATAACGATCTCTTACAGACTTCTGGCACCCACCAAAAGGTCTTGATTAATCCACGAAGCGGTGAGCACTGCTTGTCGTACAAGGCATCTGCGAGAACGCGAGATGCGATCTCGCAGGCAATCAGTTCATGGCATGACGTTTCGTCGACATACAGTGCTATCGCCACGCCGTTTAATTCTTATATCGACAGCTCGGATTAACTTTTTCTGTAATGAGCCGCCGCAGACTGTTCCCGCAAAGCGGCGGTGAATGGGTGGCTTACTATAATATAAATAAAAAAAATAACAGGTCAGCTTGCTGCAATATAAAGAAGTAAGAGCAAATGGGCAGCACCTTCATATTGACTGATAATAAACCGGTAGTACGACCCTGCGTAGCTCATATCAAAATCGGTGCTTGTTCATGCATGCTTTCTTACTCGACATCATTAAAAAAACGTGAAGTGGGGGGGGGGGGGGGAGGGAGGGTTATGACAGTTCACGGGGGACAACTTAGTTGAAGTACCAAAAACGCGTGAGTGTTAAAAAGCAGGGGAGGAAGTGGCCGAGTGGACTAACGCGTCTCAGCTCGGAGCGTGGAGCGAAAGCTTGCGCTGGGAACCTCCTGGGTTCGGTCCCCCACCGCCCCCGCCCGTTTCGATCTGGATGAGTTTCGTACCGG